TTTTTAAAAAGGGCTGGGGAGGGCTGAGGCTCAGTGGCAGAGCGCCTGCCTCGCACGTGTGAGGCCCTGGGTTCGATCCTCAGCACCACATATAAGTAAATAAATAAATAAATAAATAAATAAAGTCATTGTGTTCATCTACAACTAAAGAAAAAATATTAATAATAATTTTAAAAAGGGCTGGGGATGCACCTCAGTGGGAAAGCACTTGTCCAGCATGTGTGAAGGGACTGAGTTCAATCCCCTCCCTCCTGTGTATTCTGGGTCATCTCTGATGATTCATGTTGCTCAAATGCAAATTCATTGCTATGTAACTCACTGTGATGCCGTTTGCCTCTTTTGCCGCTTTAGTTTCGCTGGGGATGAACCCAGGTCTGTGTGCGCTCGGCAAGCACCTACCGCCGAGCCACATCCCCAGCCTGTACTAGGTCTTTGAATATCTGCATCATTTTTATTATTCTACTTTTTGCACATTTTCCCCCAACATTTTTGATCCCCAGGTGGCTAAACCTGCAGACGTGGAACCCACGTCTACAGCACGGCCACCGCCTTCCCTTCCATCTTTACTGTCCACGCATCTCCCAGACCACGATGCCAGTCTTGGGGACGGCACCATTGTGTGCCACTGGCTTGCCCAGAACCCAGAACACAGCAGGTTTTCTGAAAATCTGAAGCATAAATTAATACAGAACTACATCCCTGAGACAGACTGCGCCCTGTGGTCCACCCACGGACTTCTAATCTAACACCTGAGACTTGAATGTAAAGGGACGAGCAGGTCACGGGGCACACAGGGTGGTTTCACGTAGGCACACGGTGTCTGCAGGCCAGACACAGGGAATATTCTCAGATTCCACGGAAAAACAGCCTCTTCCTCGTTTTTCTTAACACACAAGGCCATTTCTGGCTAATTTGTGTTTAATTGCTTTTGCCAGATACACAGTTTCAGCCAACAATCTCTCCCTTTGCTCTTCTGACGACAGAAAAATCAAAAAGTTCCAGCACAAGGGTAAATGGTGACCGACAGCAGCTTTAGTGAGGGAGTGGCAGGGACCAGGGGGGACTGTGGCAAAGACTGTTTCATTAAAATAAATAATAATAACTAAATAAATGAGAAACACATTTTTGCCCCAAGAAAAATGTCCACTCAAGAAACCTGGGTAGCTGGGCGTTGTGTCGCACACCTGGAATCCTCAGGAGGCTGAGGCAGGAGGATCGTGAGTTCAAGGCCAGCCTTAGCAAAAGCGAGATGCTAAGCAACTCATAGGACATCCTGCAGCGCTCCTCTGTCCACTCCTGTGTCCTGAAAGGCAGTGCCAAGCTGCTGTGGCCTGAGGTGCCGCCCAGAAGCTCATGGGTGAGACTGTGAAGGACGTTTAGAGGTGAAGTTTAGGGTTAGGAGAGCCTTGTCCTAATCAGTGCGTGGGTCCCCTGACGTGGGCTGACCGGTGGTGACTCTGCGGGTGGAGACAGGTCCCTGGGGTTGGGCCTTTGGGTTTATATTTTGTCCCTAGTGGGCAGAGCTCTCTGCTTCCTGATGGCCTGTCCTGAGCTGCTTTCCCGCCCACGCCCTTCCACCGTGATGGTCGGCCCCCCTTCCAGTCGCCAGCCGTGGCCGAACCTCCGAGATGGTGAGTGCCAAGTAACTTCTCCTCCTCTAACTGTTCTCGCCAGGTCCTTTGGTCACGGCGATGAACAAGCTAAGACACAAGGGCAGGCATGGTACGGCTTCTGCCTGCTGCCTAGCCACCACGCCCTGTGCCCCCTTCTACCAGGGCTTCTCTTCACCCCCAACGACACCCTGCCCCCCCCCCCCAGCAGGCTGCAGGGCTCTTCCAACATGGATCCGCTGCCTGTGATAGTTTTCTCCTGGAGCCGGCCAACTCCTGTTCAGGCTTCAGGGCTCACCCTAACATGTCACTGCCTCAGGGAAGCCCTCCAGGACTGCAGGTAGGTACTACCCTCCTCCTCCCCTCCCGGACCTCGGGCTCCCTGGTCCCTGCACATCCCGGGGGCTACTGCCCAGACACAGCTTCTCAGAGAGGCCTTGCCCAGCCTCCACTCCAGACACACAGAGCCGCCCTCCAGCCTGGGGCGTCTCCAGGGCACTCATCACAACTAATGGGTGTTATCTGTCCCTGGCCTGCTGTCTGACCGCCAGGCGGGCAGGCCCAGGTCTGGCTGCTCTGTCCTCTCCAGCTCCAGGCCGACCTGCACAGAACAGGGCAGGCCCCATTTCACCAAGGAAGCTGGACATCCGCGGGGCTGGCACTGGCTGGATTAAGAAGCTGCTTCCTGTAAGAGCCAACGGGACCTGGGGAAAGGGCTGCCCGAGGGCCACCTGCTGCTCAGGCCCTTCCTGATGCAGACGTCCCTTTCCTGGCTCATTTGCCAGCTGCAGCTCAGGGGCCTGTAATGAATCAACGCTAAGGAGAGCCTGGCGCGGCTGCCGCGGCCTGGAATCAGCTTCTTTTGGTAAATAAACTTCAGCAGGCGCGATAAGTGGGTTTATTGCTGCACGGAGCTACAGGGAGTTGGGGTTCTCCATTATGTCCCTTACAAACGAGCCCAAGCAAAGCTGTTCTGAGTAAAGGAGCCCAGAGGAGAAAACAGCCAATACACACAGTCTCTTCAGAAGACTGTCCACAGCGGACCTGAATGGGCACAGGGACTCTCGCCGCTCACACTCAGGGCCTGGGGACATGGCTCAGTGGCAGAGGGCTTGCCTAGCACGTGTGAGGCACTGGGTGATCCCCAGCACCACATAAAAGTAAATAAATAAAACAAAGGTATTGTGTCCATCTACAGCAACAACAAAAATATTTTTAAAAGAAGAAATAAGAACCCTGAAGCCAAGGGGAAACTGCAGACACCTGTCCCTGCGCCGCCAGACCAAGATGTGATAGGGGATTGGGTCTCCTCCAGGGTCCAGTCTGGCAAAGGGCAGCAGCTTTGAGCCACTTACAGATGTTCATAAATCCTGGATCCACAAGCCGACACACATTCAGTGAAAGCCCCCGTTGCTGAGCTATGAGATCTACATAAGAACTTCGCAGCCACTAGGTCAGTCCCTGTGCAAGGGCACAACCTACAAGCGGAGCAGCACGCTGCTGGCGCGTAGTAGGTGCTCATAGAAACAATGCTTATTTCATGGTGGGATGCTAAGTCAAATAATGATGTAGACTCTCTAATGCAGAAGCCACCCACCCCAAGGGACTACTGAGCATTTAAAATGTGGCTGGCCCAGAGACAGGCTTTAAAAAGCCTGATTTCTAAAACTTGGTTAAGAGAAAAGAATGTAAAATGTCATTATTTTAATAATTCCTATTACATGTTGAAATATTTTGGATCTGCATTATTTTGGATAAATGATATTTTGGATACACTTAATATGGTGAAATGATGTCATCTGTGTTTCTGTGTGTGCTTCTTGGGGCACTTTAAATTACAAAGGTATCTCACATTTGTGGTTGGAATCATACTTCTACAGGATAGTTCTTATGGATGTGCTCATTTAACCCAGGGGCCCTGTACCACTGAGTTACCTCCCCAGTCCTTTTTATTTTATTTGGGGTCTTGCAAAGTTGGTGAGGCCAGTCTAGAATTTGCGGTCCTCCTGGCTCAGTATCCCAAGTTGCAGGGATTTCAGGCATGAACCACAGCATCTGAGTTGCATGCTACTTCTTTTATTTATTTATTTTCTTCTCTCTCTCTCTCTCTCTCTCTCATTTTTTGGTTTTGTCGTGCTTTTTTATTTTGTCTTGGCATGTTACTTCCTAAACTGAGTTATGATTCACATTCCCCCAAATTCACCTGCTTAACGTGTAGGATCCAGCAGTTTCCTTCACAAAGTTCTGCACCCATCCCTGCTAATGTCACAACACTTTCTTCACCAGGAACAGCGTCCCCTTACCTTATCCTCGCCAGCCACTCTCCACGTTTCCATCCCCTGCACTTTTTCTTTCTTTTTCTTTTTGGTACTCCGGATTGAACCTGGGGTGCTTTGGCATTGAGCTACAGCCTCAGCCCTTCGGGAAAAAAAATCTTTCTTTCTTTTTCTTTTCTTTTTTTTTTTTTTTTTTAATTTTGAGGGTCTTGCTAAGTTGCTTCCAGAAGTTGCTGAGGCTGGCCTTGAACTTGAGATCCTCCTGCCTCAGCCGCCTAAGTCGCTGGGATCACAGGCCTGCAGCTGCCTCAGCGGCTTTCTATGCCATTTTGAGTAAAGAGAAGCAAGTTGCAGAGGAGCACTGTATCATCACGTCTAATGCAGGTACGGATATATAAGTACCCACATCGCTAAAGGCGCTCTTGAGCGTTGGAATGATGCGCACCAACAGTTGGTGCTGGTTTTCTCTGCGAACTGGAACTGAAGTGGGAAAGAAAACGAGAGGGCGACGCCCGGCCTTTATTTTAAACGCTTCCGCGCTGCTTTTGTGATTTAAAAAGAGAACGGGCTGGTTTTCTGGCCCTAAATAACTGCTAGTGGACTTCGGTAACTTTCCCCAGCTCCATCAGCAGACTGCTCCAGCCGGAAGGAGGCAGGAGCCTCGTTTTAGCTGTACTTTTTATTTATGCGTTTAAAATAGAAAGTGCCGAGAGGGACGTGGTATTTTGCTCCTAGCAACCGTAGCGGACCGCGGCCTCGGGGCTTCCCGCTCCTGGGCTCTGGCACCGCTCAGAGGAGGCCGGGGCTGGACAGGGGCAGGGCCCGTCGGGCGTCCCCAGGGCCAGCCCCGGCAAAGGGCAGCAGCCCCGACCGCGCTCGACCCGGCGTCCCGGGACCCGGGCGGGGGTCCCGGGTCAGCAGCAGCGGGGACGAGCTGAGACCCGCCGGTCATCTCAGGGTCGCCCCCGGCAGCCCCCGCTCCAGAGGGCGGCGGTCCTGGCCCCCCAGCCCTCGGGCGCGCGAGGATGCTGCGAGAACCGCGGGTTCCCACCTGTTTCAGGGCCCGGGTCCCCACCCGTGACTCCCGCAGGGTCCTCCACCCCCGGTCCCCTACCTCTGCCCCGGGCTCGGGGGTCAGGAAGAGCGCGAGCTCGTGCGCCCCGCTGCGCACGGGCTCCGGACTGTCGGCGTCCACTAGCAGCATCCGGAGGGCGACGGGGTCCGGCGGGCACAGAGAGCCCGAGCGCCCGTCCCGCGCCGGGGCCTCGGAGCCCCGCCCCGGCCCGCTGCCTGCCCCGCGGCCCGCCGGGCCGAGGGGGGCGGGGCAGGTGCGCACCGGCCGCGGCCCGCAGCTCCCCGCAGCTCCCCGGGCGCCGGCCGAGCGGGCAGTGCCACCCAGTGGTGCGCCGCGCGCACTGCGGCCGCCCCTGCACCACCCGGTGGACCAGGACCTGGCCAACTCGTTTGCAGATTGCAGTCACCTGGGCCCGTTTGAAACGTCCGAGGCCCGGGCCCCACACAGTCTTTTACGGTTGAGACCCGAGAATCAGAATTTTCTGAAGGTCACCAGATGGTTCCAACACACAGCCACGTCGAGAAGGAGGACCAACGGCGAAGACCACACCTTTCTGTTGGAATCCCCGGAGGGCAGTGGTTCCCAGCGTTGGAAACCCACCGCGAGCTTTTAAATGCCCCCAACCAGACCTCACGCCCGGCAGATTAGGTCAGAACCCCTGTGCGTGGGACTTGGTGACCAGAGGAGGTGCCGGGACTGGAAGAGCAGCTCTGCCACCCAACAGCCCCCCAACCCTTCATCAGAAGTTTTCTCGGGTGATTCCAGGGTCCACGCAGTGTCAGAGCTATCCTAGGGCCTCCTTCTTTTAAAGCCCCCAAGCTGCTGGCCCCAGGACCATCCTATTAAGCAGCTGGTTTTAGGAAAGCCAAGGGTAAGGGAGGACCAACTCCTCCTCTTCCTCCTCCGGGCAGCCTTTATTTATTTGTGGTTCTAGGGACTGAAACTAGGACAGCTCTACCACTGAGATGCTCCTAAGCCATTCAGAGACCCTGGGGCTAAAGGAGGAGGGCTACCCCACACCCCAAACCAATAGTCATGAGTACAGGGAAGTACATGGGCCAGGGAAGTCTTGATTTTTCGCAGGACTCCTCTTTCAAAATATTAAATTTGGGCCGGGCATGGGGTGGCGCATGCCTGTAATCCCAGCGGCTCAAAGGCAGGAGGATTCCAAAGTTCAAAACCAGCCTCAGCCACTTAGTGGGTCCCTAAGCAGCTTTAGGGAGCCTCTGTCTCAACTTAAAAAATAAAAAGGGCTGGGGTGTGGCTCAGTGGGTAGGCACCTCTGGCTCAATCCCTGGTAAGACAGATAGATACACAGATAGAAAGAATTTGTTTCTATTTAATGGGTTGATCTTAGGGTTGAAAATAAGTACACAGGGTGCCTCTCGGCCAGTTTCGGTTCCATCTGAATTCATATCCTGTCAGGCAGCCCAGGGAGGGTCTGAGCACGCCCTGGTCACCCAGCCACCCCTCTACAATCCCTACTTCCAAACGCACCCTCTGCTAACTTCTCAACATCCCGCCTGTACATTCAGGACTTCAGCCCACGGTCATTTTCTAGAAAATTCTTGGCAAAGACTTGGGTCTCAGGTGCTCAGGGAAAGGGGTTTATGGGAACTCGCTGAGCCCACACTTGGCTGTTGGCCACGGCATGACTTCCCTCAGTGTGCCAAACTTCCGGGCATCCTACGCTGGTCTAGGCACCAACCAGACCCCTCACCCGTCCCCTGGCTGGGACCTCTTCCCCAAGAGCCCAGAACTGGCCCAGATTAGCCAAGTAGAGCTGAGTGTCACAACTGCCCCTCGGATAGATGTCAGGAACGAAATGGTAAGTGGGCGAGGAGCTGCCGTCACCGAGTGGCTTTTAAGTCATGCCCAAGCACAGCACAGGTTGCTTAGGTGACGCACAGCGTGAGCCTAAAGGGAGCAGAAACCATGCTCCCCCACCCACCAGGAAGGTGGTTGCTGGGGTGGGGGGACAGGGAGGGACAACAGAGGGGTTTCAATGATATTTGTGATGTTCTTCTCTTTAGTTGATGTTGGCTATAATACTTAACCTTTTCAAATGCCCAAAATGACTCATTAAAAAAACCCCAACAAACTCCACAGCCTGGAATGTTGGTTAACAGCACTGACTGCCCAGCCCCCTTCCCTGGGGGAGGGTTCTGGAGACGGCGGGCTCTTCCCCAGCGCCCCTGGATCTGCACTCTGGGCCAGGCTGGCTCCACAGTCATTTTGCTTGTGAGTGTGCAGTTGTGCCTTAGAAACACTCTGCTAAACACCCAAGGCCCAGAGCCCTGCCCCAGACTTTCTGAAGGGAGGGGGCTTCCGGGGAGAAGGGGTGCTGGGCCTCTAGGTCGCAATCCCCCAGCCTCTGAGGACAAGCCCACCCAGGGGCTCTACCTTGCTGCTGGCATCTGACAGGGCCCCTGGGAGGCCAAGAAAAGATCTTAAACACAGAGGGTTGGGTTTGAAGATCTCCCCAGGCCCTCAGGGGCGCTTGGCTCCTGCCCCAGGGCCCTGCCCCCTGGTCCAGCCCTGGTCCCGGGGGCCCTCAGGGAGGCCCTGGGAAGGGCAGAGAGCCTGAGGCCTGGAATGCAGCCCGCCGAGGCCGCACCCTGTCCAAACCAGTTTGAACCAGCTGCCGGGAGGGAGCCCTGGCGCGTCCCCACGAGCTCCCTCTGGTGCCCAAGCGGGGCTCAGAGCTGCAGCTCCCGCAGCCTTCTCCAGAGGCCTGGGCGGGTGCAGGCAGCCCCTCCCCGCCTGGGCATGAAGAGGTGGTGGCTGCCAGGCCCCAAGGGCCCCTGGGAGCTGCAGCCCTTAGCTGGGCCCCAGGTGGCACGTCCTCCACCCCCGCCCATCCAGCTTCACCTCAAGAGGCAAGATGGTGGCCTCTCCTGTGTTTCAGAGTTCCCCAGCCCAGGCCTCAGGCACACCCCGCTTTAGACCAGCCCCGGTTCCCAGACTTGTGGGACATTGGGAACCCCTGGGACGTCTCTAGAAAATGCTGATGCGGGACTCCACCCGGAGACCGACTTAAGTGTTCTGGAGCTGGCCTCCCTGCTGAGGGAGTCTTAAAAGATCTGGGGGGGGGGGGGGCGGATTCCAGTCTGCCTGGTCCCAGGCTGCTTCAGGCTGGCCTCGCTCTGGGCCAGTGGGGACCCCACAGTGGCCTTTCTAAGGCCTGGGGCCTCTGCAGCAGCCTTCTTTGCTAAAGTGTCCTGGGCACAAATCACGTGCCACTGCGCGCGCACGTGTGTGTGTGTGTGTGTGTGTGTGTGTGTGTGTGAGAGAGAGAGAGAGAGGGAGAGGGATTCTCAGGCCCAGGGCCTCCTCACATGCTAAGCAAAGGTTCGGCCACTGAGCCAGACCCTGGCTCCTGACACAGGTTAGTCATGGAGTCCCACCACACCCGGTAAGGAGGTGGGCCCTGCTATGACCCCATTTCACAGATGAAGAGACTGAGAGGGGAGAGGCGGGGTCTGAACCCAGGCGCCTGACCCCAGACCCAGGCTCTCAGCACTTGCGGGGCTCCCCCCTGCAGGCCAGCCCTTCCTTTGGGGCTGGGTGCTGGCCTCCTGGGGCAGACCCCCTGCCCCCTGCTCCCCTGCACTGGCCTGCCCACCGGGCCCTGGCCAGCAGAGGCAACGGGCTTGGGTCCGTGCACCTCTCCATACAGGGCCGTCACGCCAGGTGTGCGGTCTGCTCTGTGGCTTCTCTTGAGGAGGGCCTGGGAGCCAGGGCCAGCGTGGCCCTGCTCGGCCCCTAAGGAGCTGCCTGATTGGCCAGTCCCCAGGCCTGGCCTGCCACGGGCGTGTTGGCTCCTGAAGGCAGCCAGGCTTGTGACTCTGGAGGCCCCGCGTCTGCCGGCCTCCACATCTCTGTCCAGGGCTCTCCTGCCTGGACGTCCTAGGCTGGACCTCCTCCCCCTGAGCTGACCTCTCGGCCTGCCCCCTCCGGCCTTCAAAGCTTCTCTTTCTCAGCTGTTTCATGACCCCAAACAGGTGAGCCCTTTCAGCTTGCCCTCAGAGACCTGCTAAGTGTCGGGTTCACCAGGACACAGCACTCCTGGGCACAGAGAATGAATCCTTCGTCCAGCAGGCTGCCTGGGCACATAGTAGGTCCTCAGTAAACATGGATATCGAAGACACAAAGTGCGGTCCTATTTAGTGTCTGTTTTCCCACTAGCAACGGAATGTCACACACCCACTTCCGCAGGAGCACAGAGAAAAACTGGGTTTTTAAGAACATTTTAGGTCATGATTGTGAAATTGTCACTATTCATGGCCAGGCAAAGCAGTGTCAGCTTCCCTCCCCGCCCCTGGTCGTGTGGCAGGGCTTTCTCTACCCCACGGAGTCCTGCGGCCTCTAGTGGGAGGCCGAGGATCAGGCCTCCGTCTGCAGGCAGTGTCGGCCTCCCTTCAGAGCAGAGCTGCTGGCTGGAGAGGAGGCGCCCGAATCTGGAGGCAAAGGAGGCCCCCCCTTCCAGCCCCTGAGAGCCTCTGGTCGCTGCTTCTGCCTCCACCTGACCAGGAGCGTTGTTTGGTGTCCAAGGTGACAGGCAGCGAGGCGGGCCACCAGTGCTCCCTATGAACTTTCTCTCACTCTCAGCCTCCAAGTGGGGCGGGTGCCACCCTTCACCCAGCACCCTAGGCCAGACAGCTCGGGACAGCACTGAGCGCTCCCGAGGCTCCTACCCCACGGGAGCCGCGACGAGGCCACAGATCCAGGGCAGCTGGGGCCGCACCCTCAGACCAAATGGAACAGAATTTCTCAGCAAAACGTGTGAACTTTCACTTGAATGAGCTAAAGAAAGTCCTTAAATAACGTCTGGCCAGTTCAACTCCGCGTACTTCTACTGAAATGGCAGCTGAGCACGGCCATGCACATGCACACCTATGATCCCAGTGACTTGGGAGGCTGAGGCAGGAGGATCATGGGTTTGAGGCCAGCCTCAGGAACTTAGCAAGACCCTGTCTCAAAATAAAAAAATAAAAAGGGCTGGGGGTGTGGGTCAGTGGTAGAGGGCCCCTGGGTTCAATCCTCAGCACACACACACACACACACACACACACAAGCCTAAAGCTTCTTGGAATTTCCTGGATTTCAAAATGACACAAAAAAGCAATTGTGGGCTTAACAGTTGGGGAAACTGAGGCTCAGGAAGGCCCAGGGCCTGACCCAGCCCC